TCCACCTACCTTTGAGGGTCAGGGTAACAGCATTTGGAAATGCACAATAACGACAGCTGAGCACAAAGGGTCTCTCAAAATTGCCAGATCATTTGTAAGCAAACAAATGGAGATGATCATTTATTTTAATTTTTCAAAGGGAAGAAGACATTTTCAAACAGGTTTCTTAAAGATGGGGTGCGCCGTTACCCAGAGTTGCAGCCCAGGCCTGTTCTTTGGGTTTGCTTTTTTTTTGCCACTGGACTCCTAAAAGGTGAGCAATCTAAGCATCATTTTGCTACTCCACAAAACCATGAGTCTTGTGTCACTCTAGCACCATGACAGTGACATAAAGGCAGCTGTTTTGAAAATGATGGGAAAAAAATTCAGAAATTACTCTGCAAACTGGCCTCTTATCCCTAGTGGAGTAAGAAAAATAAAATCTCATTTATATTTCTGAGAAAAATGTTGGCTGGGTACCTGCTGTTGTTGTTCTGAGGCTTACAATACAGTTCCTTCTAAGCCTTATAGCGGGTAAGATGAGAGGGCAATATTGCGTCCAGCTCTAGGAAAAAGGCAGTGTATCTTGTCATCCAATTTGCCAAATTCTTTATCTTACTATTAAAGATACCTTCTCCCTCATCCTAGATGAGGGTTTATTTAGAGTTTATTTTGGTGATATTTTTACCATAGCATTACATATAGCAGAGCTTCCCCCCCCCTCTGCCTCCCTGGTCACCCTTCCTGGTTAACAGAAAGGATCAAGGGAGGCGTTGCTTTCTGAAGTCTTTCCTTGGGACCTTAACTGAAGTGTGGGAAACTAGGAAAGGCTGCCAGCGAACGGCAGGACATTTCCATACATTCCCAGCCGCACCAGAAGTAAGGCAAGAATAAAGAGTCATCCTGAACTTCGCCCGTGAGAATTTCTTCAAAATTCCTCCTCTTTTGACATTCATCCCAAACGGCCTTCCTTTTGCATTATATGCTGTGGGGAGGGATAGTTGGAAATCCTCATAGGATAAATTTTCAGCACAGCGCTAAACTGGCTTTTCTGAAGAAAAACAGAGACTCAGAACAAACCTTTAGCTGGTCTCTCTACCAGTCGCCCACCATCGCAACCGTAACGGGTGAGACAAGAGTGCAAACCCAACCATCGGGAGAAACGACATCCTCTTGTCCAACATTTGGACTAAAGGCTACAGCATTTTGGGTCTCTTTCTGTGTGTCTTATTTTTGTGTGTTGTAATTTAAACCACCTGGAGAAGGGTGTGGAGCTTCAGCGTGGCTGGAAAAGATTTTCGTCCTTCGTGTGGGAAGAGAAAGAAGGCGAGGAAGAATCGGTTGAAGGAGGCTGCTCTCTGAAGCGATCTGTTGCCGGATCAGAGCTGCTTAGCCTACCAGCCTTGCGGACTGAAAAAAAACATGCTTTCTGAAGCTTGCCCATATGTTAATTTGGGAAAGACAAATCGCATCATAGTCAAGTCATTGCTGCAAGCCTTCTTGAGGTCTTCAGGAAACTGAATTTTACACCCAATTACATACCGTTTTCACTGTCTCTGCACTTGCACTTAATTGCCAAACACAATGCTCTTTTGCCTCTGTTAACAACATACTATCTTTCCCCCATGACCACCACTATCTTTGCTACTTCCAAATGCATTTCGTCATATATTGATCACAAGTACCCCATATTTGTGGTGCAACAGTCCACGTTCATGTATGTGTGTTTTAACAAAGAGAACTGAGATCACAGCCAAGAAATAGTTGTTCTGAGTGATTTAACACATCTTTTTCACAATGATATTGAGAAAACAACTCTTTCCCCTTCCACTGATTCCATCTCCTTCTTATAAACTATTAACTTTGAAAACTGTTGTGGAGGAATAATAATTTTTTGGGGGGACAGGGAAGCCAGACCCTTTAGTTTTGATTCCATGAATTTGTACACGCAGATGAGTGGCTTGGCTCTTCCGCAGAGAGAATTCTTGTGGCGAAAACACTGCACTAGGTCACTATTGGTTCCCAACCTTAGGTCCCCAGAGGTGTTTGGACTTCAACTCCCAAAAGTCTTCACCGCTAGCTGTGGTGGCCAGGATTTCTGGGGGTTGCAGTCTCAGAACATCTGGGGACCGAAAGTTGAGAACCACTGCACTAGATCAAAGAAAGAGAGCTGGATGAACAGCAAAGCTGCCCCAAGGCATTTTACTGTCTGAGGCAAAGAACGAGGGGGACCCGTTCTGATGTTCCTTGAACAAAAGCCAACTAGACTGCAAGTTGCATATTACATCCGCACAGGTGATAAGACGATTGTCCTCCTATCATACTGAAAAAACATCGGGCAGAAGTGGCTGGCCTTCTCCTTCAAAGCCCTCTCCCATCATCTGCTTCATTCTGCCTAGTGGTAGGGCTGGCGCCTTCATAAAGTGGGCTATCTTTTCCTCCACAAGTCTCTAAGGCGAGGAGTGAACAGAAGGGCACCTTCCCTTTCAATCCATCTCAAAAAGGAGGCTCGTCCTTTTCTTGTTTCTGCTTAAGGAAAGGACGGATAAATCAAAAGGGACAGCCGTGATAGATCTTGATGAAACCTGTAACATTTCCAAAGAAACTTGTCAAGGAAAACAACGTTGTTCAATTTCCCTCGCCCTGAGACTGCAGAGCAGCCCTAACCTTTGTCCCTTGTGATGGTTAGGACAACAATTCCAATATGCCACAACCAACACATCAAGAATGATGGGAATTGTAGTCCAGGACTTCTAGAGAGCCCAGACCGGGGGAAACTACAGAAAGAGCCAATTCCAGACCTCTTGACAGTACGAGACTAGACAAATCAAAGGTAATTTAAACCTCATTTTATACATTCACTCCCACCATAGACCCACCATTTTTGTGGAATGCAGACTGTTTCCATTTGTATACAGTGATGGGATTAAATAATTCCAGTAAGAAAGATCTGGCATACTAGAACTAAGGTGAGCAATATATTGGATTTCTGTATATCTACTTTTAAAGGCTATGTTCAAGTTACTCACACTGAACGGCAGTAATCTCTAGGGGAAGAAAATAAATATATAAAAATCTGTCACTTAACAACTAACCTCCCCTTTTTTAAAAAAAAGTGGAACAAATAGTTCCCTTAAATGTACAAAAAGCACTCTAGAAAAGAGGTTCATTTTGCTGCTGGCAAAAGGAACAGGAGCTCTTTAAAAAATATTAGAGATCAAAGCATTTATGTCTTCTATCGCAAGTCACGCTTCACTTTTATTTTCAGTTCCTCTGAATCTGGCAACAAATTAATTTTTATGTCAGCCGATGTAGCTGGATATTGGGGACTCTGTCTTGCCCTGATTCAAGTTGAAGCAATCATCAGGTAAGCAAGCTGCTGAGACCTTTTCTTTTATCTTTTAGAAGAGGTGATAATAACCTGTCTGGCAATCTGGATATTGGCTGTTCTCCAGTTTTCCGTCTACCCACATCACCGATGGGAAGTCAATTTGCAAAGACAAGATAACATTCTGGTTCCCATTTGGCATGATGCCCCCTTCCCTAAATGAAGACATTTTCCCCTCCAGGCAACCAACATATTGAAACATGGCATGCCATAAAATGGCAGTCTCGAGTTAGTGATCAGGCCAGGTTTTTCTCACTTCTTTAGATCTCTTATCAGAGGGCTGAAGATGTCTATGTCTCCTTCAGGCAACTGAAGGGCCAATTCACACCAAACGGCACAAGGACACAATTTTGTTGCTGGAGTGGTACAAACTTCAGAAGGACAAACAACTGAACGGAGGGATTAGATACTCTGTAAAAACACTTCACACAGAAAGTTAAGTGCCAGGAAAAGAGGACTTGGCTTAGTTATCTCTCCTACAAACATGTTTTACACA